GAGTATATACGGTACTTATCAGATCTTCTAATTACTGAACTAAACTACAGTAGAGGAGTAATTTTCACATTTGAAACCAGAGTAACATCATCATACTTTGCATAAATAAGGAGTTTCTCCTTGCTAGTTAAGATATTTTTGTAAAGATCTGTATATAATTCTCTTATCAATAGATAACCAAGATTCCCTTGAATGGACCAGGCTGTGATCACTTTAAGTCCTGCAGTCAGTGTCTTTCAGCACCTCCTTTCATGCAGTGTGGCTGGTGTAGTGATCGGTGTGTGAGGTCCTGGGAGTGTGTTAAAAGGATGTGGACCCAGGAGACATGTTTGCCGAGAGTTTATGAGGTAAAAAAAATTCCCCCCAAATTTATCTCAGAGGTAGGACTGCACATGTATTTCAAGCATACCTGTCCAACAGAATGTACCTGAGGCCTCTTGAGCCTTCTGAGCCCTGGAAGTCTGCAGATGCTAGCTATGCAGCTAGCCAGCCTATGCAGTAAAAAGAGCAAGCTGTCTTTTCCCCTTACAAAATCTCAGAGCTTTTCAAGACCAGGAGTCACAGAGCAGTGTGATGAAAAGAATTTGTGTTAATGTAATTGTTTATTCTTGTTTATGCTGCATTCCAACAGTATCAGGATTGGTGGTGTCATCGCATTAGGATCTGTATAAAGATATAGGAAGGCATGGCCCTGCCCCAAAGAGCTTACAGTGTATGAACGCAAATTACACATGGACTACAACCAAATAGATAAAATTTTAATATACATTTTTTCTCTTTTTTAAATTATGATAAATAAAGTTTCCACTGTCTTTACCTTCCCCTCAGCCTAATTACCCTTAACTGGCTGCTGACCTCATGTAAATAAATTCCCCACATTCTGTGCTCCACCGCTCTCCCATTCTGGATTTGTCCCTCTGCTGGGGATCTGTGGAAGAAGCCTTGGTCTTCAATAACTACCATTTACTGTCTCAAATGTGGAACTGGGTCAGGGTTTCAACTGATCTGTTTGTGATTTAAAAAAGGAAATTCCCTTCACGTGGTGGGGAGAAGGAGGGCAAGTCAGCTCTCAAAGCCTTCCTCACAGGGAGAATGGGTAGGAAGACTCTTCCTGCTCACAGCTGCTGGAGATGATGTGGAGGAGTTCCCCATCCCATATCACATTTTGATGGATGGCTCTGTCTCTTCTTCCCTCCACCACCCCTGCTGCTTTTTGGTTTGTGGCACGGATGGGAGAGAAAGGGAACATCTTTGGCCTGATGGCATCCTCTCTCTTCCTTACCTAAGCTCTGTAACAGCGCTTCCAACCAAGGAGACATCTTTAGGCCAGGTGCTTTTTCAAACCTCTCCCCAGCCTTGACAGTTTCTTGAGTGTCATTCCCGTAGGCCTGGTTGCCATGTGCATGGCCCTGGGGCAGGGCAGAGTCTGTGGCTCTGTCCCTGGGAAAGAGGACAGCTGAAGGCCGCTTTCAGTTGTAGAAAACCCCATAAATGTTAAAAAGTACACAAGAGCAAAATTACACTGATAATCAAAGAGCCCACTAGCGCGTTGCTGTTTTCATTTAGCTATGGTTAAGGCAAGATTTGTATTGGCTGACTGTGCATTGAACCAAATCATTTTGTGTTAAGTGTGACACAATGATGAAGGCCTTGTTTCATGGAGCAGTTAATACACTAGTAAATGGAGCGGAGAACAAGCATAAAACGTGCTTGTAGCATTTATAGCCATTATTTTTACTGATGTATACAGTGTTAAATTCTTATTCCTTTTGCATGTCTGAACTTATAAATAGGGATGAAACTTGAAAGACTAAGCACAAAGAGAGAGACACTTTTTAAAAGAAATAATATTTCATAATATTAGGATTATGAATACCAAAATGATTATGGCACTGCTTCTCTACTGTCTTGTGCAGTCATTTACATCTGTGCAAAGGGCTGTAAAATAAGAACGAGAATGTTTTACACTCACTTTGTACAAGTGCACAACATTCTATGACCTGTGCTATACAGGCCAGACTAGATGATCTAATGACCCTTCTGGCCTTAAAAATCTATGAATTTGTGAATCACGCATGTACTTGGGTGCATAACACTGGATACAAGGCAGTGGAGAATCAAGCCCAGAGAGTCTCCATTGCCATCATAATTAAATATATACATATGATGTTTCTACAAGACCAAACTGTTCAAAGCTATATAACATAGCTTATTTTGTGTGTAGGTTCTGATTTTCAGATATGCTGAGCACGTACATTGACTTCATACAGAGTTGAGTGTACTGAGCCATTCTTAAAACCTTTCCTGGAGAGCCCAGTTCTGCAATCCTTATATTGAGTAGTGCTGACTCATGAAGGTAATCCCTCTGAGTTCAATGCAATGAATCCTCTCAATAAAGTATTTCTCAGTACAAGTGGGGATTGCAGGATTGGACCTCTACAACTTTAAAGAGTGCAAGATCTCATACGTTTTTTCATACTTATTTATAATTTAGTGCCCTGTGTTCAAATGTGTGTGTGTGTATATATTTTAAATTTCAGTAAATATGTGGCAGTGATTGATCTTTAAAGTGACTCTCCTAAAGATTTGCATTTCAGCATGCACAAGTTTGTGAAACTTGTTCCTAGAAGGCTTGGGAGGAAAATAATGCAGCTAAGTGCTTAATTCCCTGTGGATTGCTAGCTGTTAAGGCAAATTTCTTGCTCTGCTTGACCATGACATTTAACATTATTACTGAAAAAATATTTTAAACAGATTATTAATCTTTTTCTGTTCTATTTTTAAACCCATGTGCATAAAATACAAGAGCTAAGCATGTTTTGTTCCTAACAAATGGAGGAAACCTGCTTTGCATGATATTTGACATTCAATCCTAAAATCCCACAAAAAGTAAGCGAGATTTCAGGGAGGCAGAGGGTTTAAATATGTTATATGATATCTTTCACCTGAAGCAGATGCAAGAGGTGCTTTGAGGGCCTGATCCAAAGCCCACTGAAGTCAATGGTAAGACTCCTGTTGACTTCAGTGGGATTTGGATCAGGCTCTGAAAAAATCTTTCCCAGTGTATTCCACAGCATTTTATTCAATGAAAAATCTACTAGGGGATTTTCTCCCTGTAGAGAGGAGGAAAGGAGTCCAATATTTTTCCACTGGAGCTTTGTAGATCTCCCAGTTCTTGCCCCGTTGCTTTAAATATCCCAGCTCTTTACTTGAAGTTTTGGGTCACAGTGACCATTCTCCCAGCTGGAGAGGTCTCAGCAGGATTCTTGCACTCCAAACTGCTGCTTTCCAAACATTCTCTAAATGGTAAAAACAGACGGAATCCCTCCATCATGCCATATAGAAAAACACAGCTAGCTGTGGGTGAGACAGACAACTCCAATTCTCACAGACAGGGTTTCTCTGAACACTCAACTGTTTGGCACCGTACACCTATCGAAATGCTTTGCAATTATTGCTTATGCCAACAAATAAGTGCATTTTCTCAGCCTGGACACACAGTGCTAAATCAAATCTGGGAGTCTTGGATGGGTCTCATCAGAGATTACTTGGTAATGGAACAAATTGCAATGCTCTATTTGTGGAATTCAGGTCACTGTGGCAGGTGAACTGCACAGGAGAAAAAAATAGGGTTGTGTCCAATCTTGCTTGTTAACTGTGTATAAAGAAGCCCTGAGAGGTTTTGTTGCTGTTTTTAAACAGGGTGGCTTTTTATCTTAGAAATATCAAGAATGTCAGGCCTTTTGTTCCCTGTTTAATGGGAGGACACATTCGAGGTTTCAGATGTGCATTGTGAGCTTTCTTGTCCCTTAATTGAAGGGATGGAGCTGTTGAATCTTTAACATCTTTTCTTCCAACAGTTTATAGGGCATTTGAGTTAAACATGTTGGCTGTTAAAACCAAGTGAAAAAACTGAGTTTTAAATTTTCTGCTTAAAAATCACTTCTGCTCTCATTTTAAGGCCTGATCCAAAGCCCAGGAAAGATGATGGAAAGACTGCCTTTGACTTAAAAGGGGTTTGGATCAAGCCATGAATTGGGTTTCATTGTTGTTATCTGTGATGTTTTCTTACTCCTACTACTTCTCCACTCGTTCCATAAATTCTTCTAATTAAAACAGGTAGACAAGTCCTGAGTCCTGTTTAGAACTGTTTGTTTTTTGTTTTCTTTTGTTAACACCTAATTAGTGCAAATGCACTATGAAGAGTTCGCAGAAAAGACCTGTTTGTTAAACACCCTTCAGAAGGCTTACAATTCAGTTTCCGTGAGTCCTCCAAGAAAAAGTCTGGAAAACAAGGCTGGACTCTTGATATATTTAAGGTACAAAACAAACAGAATAAAAATAAATAAATGAATTAAAACTCATTTCAAGCCTTTTTATTCAACTTAAAGAATCACACAAGATCAGAAACTTTTTTTATCCTTTAATATCCACTTTTAAAACTTACCGTTTAAGCTTGTTTTGCAGGATGTAATGGCTAGATTTGTTATCCCTTGATTCATGTCATCCCCCAGCATACATTATATGGCTGATGTCACACCCTACCTTTGAGGAATAAGGCAATTTGAGAGGGGTCAGGTAAGTCCCTTCGCTTACAATATTGCATAGTTTTGTAAAGTTTGCTTTTAATTTCCCTATTTGATAGCTGACTGGCTACAAATAGGGATATTCAAATGGTACGGACCTGTGCATTATTGTTCAGACAATGGGATTTACCTCACCCCTACAAAACAATTTCCTTCCCTGGTAGGGCTCCAAGGTGAGTGTTACCCCAAAGGCAGAGTGCATGCTGAGTTACATGGAGCAGGGGCAGGGCCGGCTCCAGCATTTCTGCCGCCCCAAGCAAAAAAAAAAAAAAAGCCGCGATCGGCGGCGGCAGTTCAGCGGCAGGTCCTTCGCTCCTAGAGGAAGTGAGGGACCTGCCACCCCCGAATTGTCGCAGGTGCTGCCCCTCTCCCTTGGCTACCCCAAGCACCTGCTTGTTAAGCTGGTGCCTGGAGCCGGCCCTGAGCAGGGGCAATGATACAAAGTCAGTCTCTTTGGGGACCTAGAAACAAAAAACAAATAAGGAAAATGTAACTCTGAGAACCAGTGAACACAAACCCTTTATGGCCTAGTTCCCCGTACTGTAGAAGGTGTAATACTGGCTGTAGTATAATGTGCTGAGTGGCTATGTGGGCATCTCTGTTTTGCTCTTACTCTATTCCCCCAACCCTTGGATAGGTCCCCTGTGCTTTGCTCAGTCACAGCCTGATCCAAAGCCTGTTGAAGTTAATGGAAAGACTCCCACTGCTTTCAATGAGCTTCTTCTGGTTTTTGATGACAGTAGTAAGTTTCACTGTATAGAATATATGATATAATTCCTGTGAAGTATTTCTCAACAGCTTTTAACCTACAGTTTCATTTGTGAGATTCTTCATGTATAGCTACTAGGAGACTTGAAAGGAAATGAGCCTGTCTTACTGGATTTTAGATGAAATAATAGCCACATAGTTCTTAAGCAGTTTTCTTTCAGCTTGAGAGTGTAGAAGTAGAGTTTATGAAAGGCACAATTGTATTGGATTTTAAGGGCAAATATGCGATCACTAGGAGCATTAAGCCAAAGACGTTTAAGTACTATGATCACAAGTGTAAGTTAAGTCTTTTGTTCCCTGTTGATTATCTGGTAGTGACTGGAATGTTTGCAAACTTAGGCAGTATTGTTAAAAGCCCACATCAACCCTAAACCCCTGTGTCTTTTAGACTTTCATTGGCAGTGCTTTGCTGAATACCTTAACTGAGGTTTGTACAACTTCTATAGTGTTCCTACATTTTTCCCACCATTGTTCTATTTTACAACACAATTTACAATATATAGAAAAAAAGCATTTCCTTTCTAGATTGTCAGTATGTTGCCGAGAGGTAGTTTATTTTTAACTCAGAATTAGAAGTAAACAAATGTAACAGATTTTAGTCAAAGAATAGTAGAAGTCTTATTAACTTTGTAACTGCCAAAGCAATATCTGATTAAGACATCTTTGAAGCTGCTCCATTGTGCATACCTGCCCTTTCATCAAGCTAACAAAAAAGTTACATGGTCATTTTTGGACTCTTTTGTTCAGCATTCAGCTTGTAATAAAATCACATACATTGTATGTTTAACATACCAGAAATGGGATGTAAAAGACAAGATCAGGAGGATTAAAAAGATTATTACAATGCACAGCTTGTTCAGTGCCCCTAAACACTATCCCTCAGAGCTTTCTAGCAAAGGTTTTGTTATTTATTGCTATTGTCTGAGGAAGCCCATAATGTGATGAATGAAAGGTGATGAACAATTAAGATAAATGGTAGGATACCGTCTACCAGATGAAGTGCTTCTATAAAACTATTCTTCTCCTTTGCACATTATGTAAAATTCATCTGAAGTTCTAGCAAAACTGATAAAACAGTATATGTTTTTCTTATAGATTGTCCCAAGGAGCGCTCCATTAGAAGGCGGAACAAGACTTACAGTGTGTGGCTGGGACTTTGGATTCAGCAAAAATAATAGATTTGACTTAAAAAATACAGCAGTGCTTATAGGAGGAAAGCCTTGTACTCTGGAAGTAAAAGTCAGCAACAAAAACAAGTAAGATACTTAAAATGCCCTGCATAGTAAATCCCTTAGAGTCTTCACTTGCTGGATTGTAGCCCTCCAATAGCATCTGGCTTCCTCCAGTTCCCAGGTTTCAGACCCATACAATAGTATAGAAACAGCATTAGTCTTAGGCAACAATCTCCTCAGAAAAGGGGAATCCATTGAGGGCCTCCGTGTCGGAGGTCTGATATCCTAGCTAAGGCTGATGGTTCTTTCAGTAGTCGTTACTGCGACTGACCATGAGGTGCGCTGCCACGTCGGTGGGACCTGGCAAAGGTGAAAGGGTCTTAGGAAAGTTCTGCTTGTTACTGTTAGTGAGATCCAAGAAGGTGGTAATGAATAACTGCTCTTCATAACTAAGATGTCTTAGTCAAGGTCCCATAGGGCTCGCTTTTACCATCTCTCCCTTTCAAATTTGAGAAGCTGCTGGGGAGATGATGAGGGGATACATGCATTATTGTCATCAATAGTCTGATGACTCTTTGTACATCTCCTCTGTCTCAGACACTAACAAAACTGTTTCTGTATTTTCCCAATGTCTGGCAGAGGGACCAGGATGAAAGTCTTAAGCTCACTGTGGCCAGGACAGAGACATTGATTAGCATCTTGCAGAACTGACAAATTCTATGAATATTCTCTTTCAGCTGATGACATCTGCCAATATATTGATAAAGCAACCTGCTGTCTCAGGGTCTTGCTAGATACATCACTACCCATCTAGTTCAAGATAGACAATGCCATGTATAGCCGCTGTTGCTATCTTAAGCTACGCAAAGATGTGCTCTTTTCTTTCTAATAGAGATGTCACTGCTATGCCATGATAACTCTGTCTCCTGAATAGTTTAACATGGCAAATAAAACAATGTAAGGAAAAGAAATTGACCATATATATATATATATATATATAATGTATTGATGCATATTGCCATCACATTCTAATTTATTTTTTCAGTAAGGTTTAAATTAAAACAAGAAGCTAATAGTTGTACATTTTTGCTGCCTGACAAAATTCAGATGTAAAGGGAAATTTTTAAAACAAAGTAAACATTACATGTATAAGATACACTGGTTTTCTGTCACATGCTCAGTGTTTTCAGAAATATAATATTCAATATATCAACATAATTTTCCCTGGCTAAATACAAACACTATAGTGATGTGAAGTTTAGTGTGATACTAGAGAACTTGCATCTGAAGAAGTGAGATTCTTACCCACGAAAGCTTATGCTCCCAATACTTCTGTTAGTCTTAAAGGTGCCACAGGACCCTCTGTTGCTTTTTACAGATTCAGACTAACACGGCTACCCCTCTGATAAAGAACTACAGTTTATTTTATTGTTATTTCTAAAGTATCCATCACTCAGATGGATTTATGATTTTTGTTTAGTATGGATGTTGTATTATTATGAGTTCATGTGACTCCATTTTCATACGAAATAGTCAGTCCAGAAAACAAAATAAAAACCATCTTGATCTTTATTTTTCAAAGGCTAGAATGCACTGTTGCTGCTGCAAAGAACCCCAGTTTTAATATAACCAGCAGTGTTTCAAGTGGACATGGCACATCTTCCTTCAACACATTTTCCTATGTGGTAAGCACTCCGATTAAAATTGTAGTGCCAAAATTAATTTAATTATTCATTAAAACAGGAGACAGGATACTGGACTAGATGGATCATGGATCTGACCCAGCACAACAATTCCTATGTTCCTATTTGAGTCATTGTTGCCTCATTAAAGTGCTAAGAATATTATGATTGTATATTTTAATATCCTTTTTTAAAGATATTGAAGCACAATTTAATAAGACAAATTATTATTTTTACCCCTACAGAATCCTGTAATAACAAGTATCTCTCCCACCTATGGTCCCAAGTTTGGTGGAACATTATTAACATTATCAGGGAAATACTTAAAGAGTGGAAAATCCAGAGAGATTTATGTTGGTGGGAAACCATGCACCTTAAAAAGGTATTATATTCACAAGAGTGTGTTTGCTTTGTATTATGAACTGGGTTTGATTAAATGTTTTGGACATACAAAGTAAATGAACCCATCCCCTAATGCTATGTAGAAGTGGCACTGTAGTACTTGAATGTGCTAGCTTTCAGTTCCGGCGTAGTCCCTGTGCCCTACAGGTCAGGAGAAGATTTCACCTCTTCTGTAATGCATACATTTCACTACAGCCCGAGAGGAAATAAAAAGCTGATGACAAGTGATGACAGCTCCTGACTGTATAAGAATTGCACACATCCTATTATTTTTGTCTGCCCCACCCCCACACCAACCCATTTGTTCATCTGGTCCATCTGTTATATCTTGTCTTTAAGACTGTAAGACCGTTGAGGTATTTTCTATATGTTTGTACAGCATCCAGCACAGTGGGGCCCTGACCTGCTTGAGGCCTCTAAGGCCTCCCCCTCACCAGGTCTTAGTTGACCCGGGTTCTGAGACTAGCTGCTTCAGGTTTTGTTTTGCTGTGTAGACATATTCTAAATGCTACCTCTGTATAATCATTAAATAATAATAGCTATAGGTTTTGGGCTGAGAAATATCATGAAGTTGCCGGCTATTTTGCTAATCTACAATAATAATATTTGTATTATTGTAGTGCTTAGCCCTAGTCATGGACCAGGACCCTGTTGTGCTAGGCGCTGTACAACACTGATGTTGCAGTTATTGTTACATACATTGTGCCCGGTCCTATCCTTGGTTAAATGGGTGTGATGCATACTTCAGGTAATAGAAGTTGTACCCATTTTCTTTGGGGCAGAATTGGTCTAAATTTTGAGTTTTTCCACATGGTTATGGAGAAACCTAATGGCAAAAACTTACACTTGTGGGACACATGAGAGAGCAATGGTCTATGAGTTAATGTACAGGACCCAGAGTCAGGAGGGCTGTATTTCATTCCTGGCTCTGACACTGATTTAACGTACATTCTTGACCAAGTCATTTGAGCTCTCTGAAATTCCATTTCCCAGTCTGTAAAATGGAGATACTTACCTTGCAGGGAAGCAATTGGATCTAAGGTGCAAAGTATTGTATCATGTATGCTTTTTTTAAATTATGAGAATTGCTCACGCAAAATAATGGCATACCTCCTCTGCAAATATGACTGCAGGAAGTATGAAAAACACTTCAAAATAATGAAAATATTGTTGCCCATCGGGAGCCTGTTTCAGTTTGTTCAGGCAATGAGTTTGATTCTCCTCACACTCGTACTTGTTTTACACTAGTGTAACTCCACTGATTTTGGTTAAGTTACTCCTGAGTTTCATTGGTGTGAGTGAAAGTGATGAGCCTTACATCCACTGATCTCTCAAACTACTAAATACATAAAGGCACAAGTTGACTCTCACCTCCTCCCCCAGACAAACTCAGATAGCCTCCACTGCAGCCAAATCGCCACCACACAATTACAATATGGTCTTTTGTCCTTATTTTTTTTAGTATTGACCTTTGTTCATTCTTCCTTTACCTTTTGAAAGGCCCTGTGACCTGTGCTGGGTGACAAACAATTATCTTAGGCCACTTCCACATGTACACTATTAGGTGACTTTCAAAGCCTACTCAGTAAAAGCCCATTGCCTCATTACACTGCTCTACAGCCAAAATGCTTCTGAAATAAATGTAGTCAAACTTTACTAATTCTGGGTCACTGAGAACGAAAATGATGCTTAAAATTGTTGATTGGCTCTAGTTTTCAAGATATGCTATTGGGTCAGTAAACACGACCCTTGACTTGGGAATGGTGGAGGATAAGTGAGTTATAAAGGGAAGGGATCTCAATTTAAACCAGAAATGACTAAAATACATCTTTGACTGGATCTATGAATAAATCTATGACTGGGTTTGGACAGTACTTGCTTTTTAGGCAAAACAATGCATGATGCAATCTGAAGCTGGTATTGCGTCATACATGATATGAATTGCATCATGTTATTCCTAGAAATCATGGATGATGCAATCATAACGAAGCTTACATCACTCTGCTGAACAAATTGCCCTATATCAGCTCTAGAAATCATACAGTGTCGTGCTCTCTTATTTGTCAGTGTTTGATTTTGCAAAGGGACACATTTCTGTTTAGCCAAAGTGAGCAGAGATGCCTGGTACTTGTGTGAACAGTGCTGATAACTTCTGCTATGTTTGTGGTGAAGTGACTTTTGCATCACAAAAGCGCAGTATAACCACTATGGTTAAGAAAGCCTATCACCTTTATTTTGGCTGCAAAATTGGAGATCAGGACAAGAGGTGGGCCCCACACATATGCTGCAACACTTGTGCAACAAATCTTCGCCAGTGGTTGAACAGGAAAAGGAAATCTATGCCTTTTGCAGTGCCAATGATTTGGAGAGAGCCAACAGATCATACCAGCAATTGTTACTTCTGCATGGTGCCTCCAGTTGGGAAAGGTGTGTCAAAGAAGAAAAAGTGGACTGTGCGTTATCCAAACATTCCATCAGCTATATGCCCAGTACCCCACAGAGAAGGACTGCCGGTTCCTGATGCACCAGAATCATTCTCACTTGAGTCAGACGAGGAAGAGGAAGAGGATGAAACTTCTGGTCCTGAACCATCAATGTCACAGGACCCACATTTTCTCCCATCCTCCTCCTCTGAACCACACCTCATAACACAAGGTGAACTGAATGACCTTGTCAGGGATTTGGAACTACCCAAGAATAAGGCAGAGCTGTTGGGCTCCAGACTACAGCAGTGGAATCTCCTGGCAGGTGATGTTAGGGTTTCCATGTTCCGTGACCGTCAAAAGGATCTTGTCCCATTCTTCTTCATGGAAGGTGATCTTGTAGCCTGCAACAACATCAATGGTGTGATGGCAGCCCTCAACATCGTTCACGATCCAGATGAGTGGAGACTGTTCATTGATTCATCAAAGACGAGTCTTAAAGCTGGTTTACTGCATAATGGCAATGTTTTGCCATCAATTCCAGTTGGTCATGCAGTCCATATGAAGGAAACCTATGACAACATGAAACAACTTTTGAGGTGCATAAACTATGACCAACATCAGTGGCAGCTTTGTGGCGATTTGAAGGTTGTTGCTCTCTTGCTTGGTCTGCAGACTGGATACACAAAGTACTGCTGTTTTCTCTGCGAATGGGATAGTCGTGCAAGAGATTCCCACTACATCAAGAAAGATTGGCCACTCCAACAGTCATTGGAGCCTGGGAGGAAAAGTGTTCAGCATCCACCACTTGTTGAATCAAGGAAGATTTTGTTACCACCCTTACACATCAAGCTGGGTCTCATGAAGAACTTTGTCAAGGCCATTGACAAAACACAAGCAGCTTTCAAGTACCTCCGTGGAAAATTTCCAAGGTTAAGTGAAGCTAAGATAAAGGAAGGTGTCTTTGTTGGTCCTCAGATTCGTGAACTTCTTCGAGATGATGCATTTGACCATGCACTGCGTGGCAAGGAAAAGACGGCATGGAAAGCCTTCCAGTTAGTGGCAATAAATTTTCTCGGAAACAACAAGGCAGACAACTACAGGTTGTTGGTGGAAAACCTCCTCAAGGCATACAAAAGCCTTGGTTGCAACATGTCACTAAAGATAAATTTTTTGCACTCTCATCTAGATTTTTTTCCACCGAACTGCGGCGCAGTGAGCGACGAGCATGGCGAGCGATTTCACCAGGACATTGCAACAATGGAGAAACGCTATCAGGGCAAATGGAGCCCATCAATGCTTGCAGACTATTGCTGGACAGTGACAAGAGATGCTCCATTTAATGAATACAAGAGACAAGCCAAGAAGCGCCGAGTAGACACTGAATAGGACTAAACTATGTACATAATAGTTTTTTGCCTTTTGTTTCATAATAAATTTTATCTAGATAACCCTTTTGCTGATTTTTAAAGTGTTACATAAACAGGACAGGTGAAATATTATCATGTAAAGCAACCATAAACACATGAAAAGACCTAGGTTTACAATTTATGATTAAAACTCTACTATCTACACAATATACATAGACATAAAATGTAAAAACTTAAATATCTTAGAAACAGTAGCCAATCAGTTGTTTTAATTGTCATATTTGAATTCAGCACATCAAAATACATAATAAATAGCACATTTTATCTCTGAAGCAGACGACTTCTCAAAAATTGTAGACCAGTGTTATTAAAGGCTATGGGCCAGATCCTCAACTGATGTAAATTAGGAAAGATCCATCAGCTTCAGTGGCACTACGGCAATTTACTACAGCTAAAGATCTGGCCGTGTGTGGCCATATATATGCAAGGTAGTTGGAATAGGCTTAAAATGCTAACATTCTCCAAGAGCAAAATCCCAGTTTAACTTCACAGAGCCTGTTTTTGGAGGGCCAGGGTCATTATAGAGATTGTACAATGTCAGTCTTTTCTCATCAGAGCAGGACTGGAATGACAAGGATAAGGATATTTCAAAGACTGTTTAGCATAAATGACATTATTGTCTCATCCTCATCTCATATTTATTTTTGAGGCCCTGATTCTGCAATGTGAATTGCTTGTTTGGACCCCAGTGGCAACTTGTGCTAGTGGATCCTCCTGCAAAATCAGGGCCTAATTTAGGATTGTGTTTTAAACAGATTATGTGTTTTGTGATTATTGCAAGACAAGTTCCCTTCTTCTTCTGTAATTTCCTTTCAGTGAATCTGATAGTACTGTAGTGTGTTACACACCTGCACAAAGAATTCCATCGGAATATCCTGTTAAAATGGAGATTGATTTAGCTATTCGAGAAGCTAAGGTTCATTTTACGTACAAGGAAGACCCTATTGTTTTTAAAATTCATCCAGCTAAATCTTTTCTTAGGTGAGTAAAAGTGTCTCATAGATACAGGAAAGTAATGAATGGCAGAATGACACCATTGGGCAAAAATCTATCAAGAGAAATTGGATGTTTTATCTCTAGCTGCCATGCCAATTGCTTCTATTATGGTCTGGTTGCAGAAAACAGATCATTTCCTTAGAAAGGTGAAGGGGTGGATTTTTCTGTCAATTTTTGAACATAATTTAACTTTGCTGCTGCTGAGTGTATCTTCGATGTCCAGCTGAACTACATGCATCTAGCTATTCTGTTCAGACATTCCATTGATTACAGTGGTAAATAATTTTAACATCACAGTTCAGTAAGATGCAGGGAAGTAAAGGGGTTCTAAGGCAGCACAACTCATTCATACATATGTTATATCTGTTTTCACGATAATACTATTTTTGCGTGTGCATACATATAGAGCCCTGCGCAATACAAAATTTATATCTGCATCTGATTTGCGATCCACAAACATGGTCCGCAGATATAAAGCACATATCTGCGGATTTGCAGGGCTGTACATATATATATATATATCTTATTATTTATCTTGAGCACAACCATCTGTCTGCAAACAAGTCAGCAATGAAAAGGAAAGCCTTTTTTAAGATTATGCTTTGAAAGCAATGTGTAAAATACGCTAGCAAATACTTAGGAATTTTTTTTATCTTCCTTTAAAATGCACATTCCCTTTTTTTGTTCTGGTGTATCAGAAATTAAATACAATTATTCAGTTTTTTACATTTTTTTTCTCTTTTGTTCCTGTTTGTTTGTTTTTTATCTTGAGTGTGAAAGAAACTTAATTCCCAGAAATAAATATCACTACTATAAGCTATATTTCAGCTTGTATTTCCTATTCCGTTTGTATGTCTTTGATTTTGTTTCCATGCTGTAATTTGATCTAAAATATATTTGATTATATGGCTTTTTCTAGAAAATACAATAGTAATGATTCATTTTTAATTTTTACCAGTGGTGGAAGCACAATCACAGTTTATGGAATCAACTTGAATTCAGTGTATCTTCCTCAGATGGTGATCACTGTACCTAAGCTAGGAAAGAACTTCACTGTGGTGAGTCAGCCTCCTGGATGATAAAATATCATCTCATCATCGTAACCTGAATGACTCTGTTCTCTTTGGTCAGCCTGGCTTGTTTGTACCTTGTACCTTGGGGGCTTGATCCTGCCCCCATTGGAGTCAAGAGAAGTGTCACAAGGGAATTGGTCCTTGTGAGTAGAACTGGGCCCAGTGCCCCAGTGTCAGAGCAGATAAGCCCAATCCAGCCAATTCAAGGGAGCTAGGCTACAAGTGGGCCTATAAAGGGCTGCCAGAGGGCAGGAAATGAGAGAGGGAAGAGAATGGGTGGGACAGGCTGTGTCTAGTTCCCTCGAGCAATGGGCCAGGTTCTCAGGGAAGCAGCCCTGGGGCTACTGCCCCAGGAAGGAAATAGAGGGGACCCCAAATTGGGAAGCTGCCAGGAGAAGGAGGGCCAGAGACCAGTGGAACCTGAAGCTGGGGGGAAAGGAGTGAGTTAAAAGACTGTTTTCTATTATGGTACTTGGTTGGGGTCAGAAAATGAACCTTCCAAAAGGAGACTGGGCATAATAGTGAGTGTTTGGAAGCTGGGGAGAAGCCCCTCCTTGTTACAGGAAGGTTTTCATTGACTCCGTTGGGAACAGGATCAGACCCGGATTTCATTATCTGCATAATTCTGATTGATTCCGCTACATGCAATAAAGCTCAATGATCATTTGAAAACTAGATTTTTTAAATCTGTTTAGCACTAATAATAATAATAATATCTTATAAAGGATGCTATAGAGGAGTTTTGCAATTTGAGAGCAATAAAATAGTGCAAAGTAAATAATTAAATAATAGGGACAAATTATGCTCCCATTGAAGCCAACTGCCAAACTGCCTTTGACTTTAATGGTGTGGGACTGGACCTGTGCTTGAGACATGAGTGATGATTCAACCCAAATTAAATTGCAAGTTAAATTGCAAAGCGCAGTTCAAAAAAGCAAACATAAAGATAAGCACAAATAAGAAATCACATCACGCTTTTTTTTTTTTACATTTTAAATTAAATCACTGAAGAAGAATAAAACATTGGAGCCTGTTGCTATGCTCCCTGGGTTTTTGTGCTTCTGTACCGGCCTACCTCCTGTTGAGTTTCACTGCCAGTCATTCCGCCACCAATCTCTGCCCCCAGATTTATTCCTCAAGGCATGTTCCACATTGCAAAGGGAGAAGGGCGGGAGTTAATATTGACAGGGTCAGCACTCAGATCCTGCAGGGTGTTACCAGATTTGCCCGTTATTTTGGGGTATGTTCATTTATTCGGGTTACTCTTCTGGGAGGGGGGGGGTTCTGTAATTCTATCAATGTGTACTGCTTGTATCATGTGTGTTTTCATATGGAGCTCTACTTCTCCCTTATGCAAGTTCCCTTCCAATGGAGCTAACCTGCAGGACCTAGGTTCCCCAGGCCTGGGTTCCTCCAGCCCCAGAACTGGATGAACACACACACTTACATAAACAGAGCAAGTCTGAGCAGATCGGGTCAATCGGCACTTTCAAGCTGACTCCCTTATATGTCCCTGGACTCAATGGGCTGGATCAAGCAGCACTTTCAAGCTGCCACCCTTATGTGTCCTAGATTCAACACGTCCCTATCCCCACTCTCACATCACAATTGTACTGGTAGTAACCTACTTGATGAGCAAATCCCACAGTATTTTGGGCGCTGCAGGGATCTTTAGCTTAGGTAAAAGAAGCGTTGCTGCAGAGTAAATGGGGGAAGCTAAAAACACAAAAGAGTAAAGTTCAGCAAGAGAGAGAGAAGCAACCAGCTTAACCACAAAAGTTATTTATTGAATAATAGTGATAACTACACAAGGAGGGCTAAACCAACATAACATACATTATTAAAGGTTAATACCTAAGGTAGAAAGGAAAACAGAGAGAGAGAGGGAGGGATCTCACCCACTCCATGAGGCTTGAACTGGTTGGGTTCCCAAGTGATGGTGGTAGCTCAGGGTCCTGAGTGCTGGAGACAGGCAGAGCCCCCAGCACGATCAGTCAGGAGAAGATGGAGTCCCAGTGGAACTGATGCATAGTTTGGGTCTAAGCATAAGAACACTTACTTGAACATAGTTAGGGGTTTTTGTAGAGAAACAACAATGGTTCAAGGGAGAACACTAGATTTGTTTATGGGTAAACTGATGACTCAAGGGTTTTCTTTAGGCTAGACAATAGGAGCTGATCACTCTTGGCTATGGGTGGTGTTTTCTTCCAGGGAGCTCACAATGCAACTAGGCTGCTTCAGTATTTTGGATATCAATCAGGGATTCATTACTAGAATTGGTCTGATAACTGCTGAGCTGGGTGTGGGCAGGCATAGGTTCATTAACATCTGGAGCAAAGATTCCCATGATGCAGTGCTTCCCTTCTTTTCTGGTCCCAGAGTTCAATGCGGTTCTCTGTTCTTCATTCTGTACGCTAATCCCTGTCCTATCTTTCATGCTGATGAGGCTAGGGGAGTTGTCTCTGCCCTCCATTCTGTATGCAAATGGAGATGTCTTAATCTTGTCACCCTTGTCAGGAGGGGTCTAGGTGTGTCTCCCAACGCCCTTCACTGCTCTCTGCAAGCCTTGTCTCTGATCGGTTCTGGTTCAAGCAGAGACTGGGGGGGCGTGTCTTTCATGAGTCAGACAGGCTAGATACTGCACCCTGGTTCCCCAAGAACACAGAGCTGACTGGTAGCAAGTGGTTGGTGGTGCAGAATGGGCTTGGCTGCTGCCTACCCCATCCCACATTGTGAACTTTGAGCCCTAAACTATGAGGAACACCCACAGAGGAGCTACTATAGTGTCAAGAGAAGGAGGAGATATTACTCTTCCTTCCATTTCCCTCAGCTAGGATCCAGAGCATCCAAGTGCCCTGCAAGTAAATGACATAGAGCCACAGCTCCATGATGGGCAATATGTGTGCACAGAAGTTGACTTCCCCCAGTGGGAGCTGCAGGAAGTGCTGGGCAGCCTGAAGCTTTAGGGAACACAGCAATTAGCTAGCTTTGGAGAGAGTTTGCTCTGCTCTGCCTGTTCTCCTCAGCCCTTTGAAGAAGTCGGTGTTTGAGCTGGTCAAAAATAATTAGCGGAATAGTTTTCCATCAGAAAATGCAGTTTTCTCAAAATCAAAATGTGTCACGACAAAATTTTTGACAGGAATCATTTAGGTTTTCTCATTTCTTTTTTATGTCAGAACATTTCATTTCAGTAACATGAAAGTGTTTCATTTCAACTTTATCATTTTGATTTATTTCACTTAGACTTTCTTATATTCAAGTGTTAATTTTAATATTATATATATTGTATTTACTGTTTTACATTAAACATTATAACACTTTGACATTATCAAAACATTTCCCCATATTGTAGGAAAATAATTCCGCATTATTGAAATGAAACATTTTGATGTTTCCAAATTGAATTTTTTCAGAATTTCTGTTCTATGATGTTGAAATTTTGACCCTTCCTTCCAAGTTAGATGGAAATCAGATTTTGAGACGTTGGAATTTCCTTCCAAATGGAAATTCCATTTTCTGACCAGCTCTAGTTAGTTTCAAGAATAGCACTAGCTCTTCTGAGGCCTTGCATTCCCTGATGAAGAGCTCTAGTATGTCCCATCCCAAGCTGAGAATAGCAGGAGGAGAGAGGCTCCTTCTTTCTTGTGCGGTTATATAAAGGCTTTGTATAATCTGGCCTTACCATCTGGAAACGAATTTTGAGCTCATGTGCCTGCCTGCAAAACGAAGTCTTTCTAACCTCTGCAGTAAGTCTTATTAATGGATCTCTTCTGTCCCCTAAGCATTTGAGGTCAATATTTTCTCTTTGAAAGCCTATACTTTGCATTGATTCCCTAATAGCAAACAAGTGGTCATTTGGGAATTTTCTACTGTAGTGGTATGGCCCACCCTCATCCCCATCCATTGATTCATACTCTTAACGTCTTCTATAAAGGAATGTCCCATGGTGTCTGAGGTGCAAAATTAGGAAGTACTTAGATTTTTAGACAAACTCTCCTCTACCTCCACAGCCTGTAGAATAGACAGTTGTCACATCTATGATCCAATATGGATTTGTCCTGGTATCAGGCCAGGTATTTTGTGGCTTTTGCATTGTAACAGCATAAGATCATCTCTTTTCTCATTATTATTTTTTCATTTCAAGCATTTACAAAACTGGGCCCACAATATCTAGCCCCTTCCATTGGATAGCCTTGAGAACCTTTTAATTGCTCCCCTGTGATGCTGCTCTCTCTCTCTCTCTTCTATTCCCAGGCACCTCCCATGAGATTAAAGGAATAGTATAAAAGCTTTCTCAGATTTGGGATATCTTGAATCTATCCATGTTTGTAGTACCCGTCAAACCCAAAAGCCTGGGATCATGCGAGTCTCGGGTAGCTTTATGAGATAATATTGGAGGTAACTTTGCTTGTTTATTCCATTTCATGGAAATCACAGAAGCTCATCATTTCCTCTCTTGAAGAACTTTCTGTCTGCCCCAACAGATACTGAGGGTCAGATTCTCTAGCTGGATTACCTCAGTCATACACAGCGGCTGTAAGCCTGCCACAAATGCCCAGCAGAGAATTCCCTTGTTGGAGAGGAACTCCCTGCAGATGCTCGTGGGCCCTGCATCTCTCCTGGTATATGGACTGTGCATGAGGGGCAAAAAGGGGGAGTGCTGAAGATACACCAATCCTCCAGTGATGTAGAGTCCATTAAAGACCCTAAGCCAGTAGTAGAATTGGTAGCAGCTGAAATTTATATTGAGGCCAGGTCTGGTCTTCAGAATCAGGAAGCCAGAATCGTGTAAGGCTGTAGCTCTGTCTACTGTTTGGTGCAGAGATCTGACAGCTTGGCGTTTGTACCATCTGGACTAGACACTCTTTTTCTGTGTTTTCATCCAATAAGATGACTAGAAGAGAAATAGGGGCAGATGCCCCTGAATCATTAATACCCACTGGTGCACCAGCCTAAACAGCAGCATCTGTCCTTGCAAAGGCTGG